GCTGTGGAGGGCAGTGTCACTGGCCCTCATATGTGGGATCCGAACCGGGGCCCTCTGGCGTCCCAAGCCAGTTCTTAACCATCGCGCCACTTGGCCTGCCCGGCAGTTCTTTTTTATTGTTATGTTCACTCACCTGTTTCTCAGTCTTTTAGCCAGTATAGGATGCTGGGGCAACTCATCTCTTCTCCATGTGTGTCTCATTCTAGGCTAGGTTAGGCATGTTCTCATGGCAATGGCAGAATTCAAGAGCAGACAAGCCCAATCAGCAAGTAGCTTTCCACTATCTGCTTGGATCACATCTGTGAATATCCCATTGGCCAAAGCAAGGCACATAGCCAATCCCAGACTTGAGAGTGGGAGGGTGCTAAAAAGTTACATGACAAAGGACATGGATAACTGAGATGGGTGAAGAATTGGGCAATTTTTGCAATCTACAACACCTAGTACACATACTAAGGTTCTTCCTCTTTTCTTTCCATATAGGCGGAGTCGGTCTCCAAAAAGGAGGAGGTAAGCCTTTTGTGATTTGTGATGAAAGACAGGGGTTTGGGGAGGGGTGTGCTTTTTTGTAAGTATATTGTCAGAGAGATGGGATTCTGACCAGTCATTTCTACAGCCCCTCCCCTCGCCGAGAAAGACATCGGAGCAAGAGTCCGAGACGGCACCGCAGCAGGTCCCGAGATAGACGGCACAGATCCCGCTCCAAGTCCCCAGGTNAGAAACGCTATGTGCTCGAGGAAGCTGAGCAGCTGGAGCCTCGGGTTAGCGCTCTAGAAGAAGACATGGATGACGTGGAGTCTAGTGAAGAGGAGGAAGAAGAGGATGAGAAGGTCAGATACCAGAGGGCTTAGGGGTTAGAGGGACAGTTATAGGGGATAGGAATGGGCCTTTTTGTTTTGTTTTGTTTTGTTTTCAATTTTAAACTTTCTTTAACCAAAAAAATACAGTATTTAGTCAATAAGAGTATGGTCTTTAGAGTTAAATAGGCCTTGACTCATATCTCAGTTCTGCTATACAGAGGGTGCCAAAAAAATGTATACACATTTTAAGAAAGGAAAATTTATTAAAATTGTAATACTCAATATATACCGATAACAAAGATGAATACAAGTCACGTTTGACTTCTGCAATTACAAGAGGTGCTCAAAGTGGTTACCATCACGTCCAGACACTTCTGATAATAGCAAACTACTGCTTGAGCAACTTTGACCAAAATGTATACATTTTTTGGCACCCCCCAGTATATATCGTGGTATAATCTTGTGCAAATTACTTAATCTCAGTATTCTCTTTAAAGCAAGGATAGTACCTTTCTCTTAGGACTTATGAGCATTAAATGAGATGATATACAAAAAGCTCTTCGTATATATTGGGACATTATAATTATGTAATAAATGGTAGCTATTAAAATAAATACTTGGGACAAAAATAATACTGTTTATAATTGAACCTATCCTAAAGACCAAGCCTGAATTAAGAAAAAAAAAAGTGCCTACTGCCTGGTCATGTTCTTTCACTATTATGATGCTGAAAAGTTGAAAACAACCAAGTTGTCAAGGAACAGTCAGGTAAACTATTGTATCAACTCAACAAACTATTAGGCAACCATTAAAACTATTACGGAAAGTATATACTAATGTAGAAATGCTTATGGTAAGTTAAAAAAGGGCCTAAAATATTTGTGATTAAAATTAAAGTAACAATCTATGTATAGAAAAAGACTAGGGGGAAATACAAGAAATGCTGGTTTATGGATACTTAGAACCAAGAGGCTTTTTTTTTAAATAAATTTTATTGGGGCATTGGGGGAGGGGAACAGACAAGTTGCTGTCCTTTGGTTCTTCAGTCTAGTTGTGGAGGATGCCGCTTCACTGGCTCATGTTGGTATTGTGATCATTTCGCTCTTCCCAGCTGAGGCAGTAGGTCGCTGGCCATTGGACAGCTGCTCACAGCAGCTCTAGCAGCTGTCGATCGCTCACGCTGGCTGCCGGCCACTCACAGTAGCTCATAGCAGCCCACAGCAGCAGGGGCTGCAGCCTACGCCGATGCCAGCGACTCTCAGCAGTCCAGCTCCAGGTTGAGCTGTTGTTCAGCATCTTAGGTGTGGAGGGCAGTGTCACTGGCCCTCATATGTGCGATCCGAACCGGGGCCCTCTGACGTCCCAAGCCAGTTCTTAACCATCGCGCCACTCGGCCGGCCCCAAATCAACAATTTTCATAGGTATAATTTATATAGAAAACACAAGATAAATATTTCCGTTTCTCAGTTTTTATAATGAATTGATTTCCTTGTATCCTCCCAAGGTGAGGAATGCTCTTTTGTTCTTGGTAACATTGTAAACTCATGGATATAAGCATATTTGATGTGTTTTGAACCACTATAGTCCTTGAGGCTCAAACTGTCCCATCTTTATAGCCAGTGGGGACCCTTCAACTTGACTCCTGAAACTTTTTGATAACAATCATAGTATTCTAGGTCTCCTTGCTTTTTTTTTTTTTTTTTAAGCTGAGCCATCCTGCCACCTGTTGGCTGTTCAGCTCGGGCCAGGCATTGAACCGCTGTTGCTCAGAGCTCAAACTCTTGAGGGAGCTCTTAACCAACTGAGCCACTTGGCCAGCCCCTTGCTTTCTAATATGACAGTATATTCTAATCATGTCTTCTTACCTTCTGCCCCAGACCTGCTATTAGCCATTTTCCAAGGAGCCCTTGTTTCCCTTTACTGAGATATGGTATTTAGATAACACAACTTAAGCACTGTAAGTGCTACAGGTTTGTTAAGTCCCTTGAAGGGAGAATGTAGGACCGGATGGGGAGTGTAAGCAGTGTTTCTGGATGGTTCTGTATAAGCCTGTGCTCATCACTGACTCATCTTGGTTCCAGTTGGAGCGAGTACCATCACCCGATCACCGGCGGAGAAGCTACCGCGACTTGGACAAGCCCCGTCGCTCTCCCACACTGCGCTACAGGAGGAGTAGGAGCCGTTCTCCCAGAAGGTGAGGCTCTCCCTAGTCATTTGCCTCTTCCAGGGAGACTTTAAACACTATAGTATAAAAATCTGGAGTTCCAGGAAAGAAAAATGCAAATCTGTTGAGAAGGTCTGCTTGCCCAATGTATTAGTTGCTGCAAAATAACCACCCACAAAACGTCAGTGGCAGACAATAACCATCTATTTAATACCGTATTTCCCCATGTATAAGATGCACCCTTTTCCAAAAACTTTGGGGTCTAAAAACTGGGTGCATCTTATCCAGTGGTTGTAGATTTTTTTTTT